ACGGGTTATCAGTCTCTTAATCAAATTTTAAAGGAAATATACTATCTTTTTCGTATTGCAGATACTATTCAATGGCAGCTAGTACGTTCCAAATTACGGGTTGTTGGTAAAATGTTAGACAATGATTTTGGTAAAGTCACAATGGACGAGGGAACTACTTTTGGTGCCGCGGCCCCTGACATTCTTTCCTGGTTTGAACAAGCAGACGAATCAAATAATACCCTGCTTGATGATAACGCTAACGAATCAAATAATCACCCGCTTGATGATAGCACTAAATCAATTACACAACCGCAAGATGATGATCTCTTTAATTGGCCGTATGACTATGATAATGATATATCGGTTATAGACTTGACCGCACCATCATTAAATAGTTCTCAGATCTCTCAAACGCATAGCAATAATATAAATATTGTCGATTTGGAGTCTGAGACAACGAAGAAACACGAACTTTGTAATAGCAACAATAATTCCAATGAGAGAGATGCAGAATATGATGAATCTATTTGGCAGTGTTGGGATCAGAAAGATTACAGTACTCATTGGTTAAAGTACACTAACTTTGGAATTATGCCACCGGATTATGTTATATCAGATCCAGGATACACTGAATATATTTCACAATTTTCAAAACCTTCACCTTCGGTGGCTTCTCCATGCACTATATTTCCTCGTAGAGATAATAGCAAAGATTCAAGTCTCACATCTCGCTCTTCACTCAAGCGCGAATTGGAAGATGCTAGTGAGTGTAGTCGATTAAAAGCTCATAAGATTAGCCGACTTGATAATTTTGACACGGCCGGACCGGATTAGTTGGGGTTATTATCTCAAAATAAGGTTTCATGTCGTAATAGGTTTAGTGAAGTTGGAAGGGTTCAACCTTTTTATTCTTAAGCTGTAATTTTTTGCCATAATAGGTGTAATGGTGTAATGATTGTAATAGGTGTAATGGTCGTAATAGATGTAACTGCTGTAATAGTTATAGTGGATCTTACTAAATAAATCGGATATATAGTAAATATCCATGAGCTTGAATAACTTATATAAGAATTTAGATCGTTTAATAAAGATTCTAAAATAATATCCAATCGAAATTATGAACAAAAAGCTTAAATATGGCCATATACTCGTAACTGCGTTTCTGGTATACACTACGTTTCTATATTCTCATTAATTGCTATTTTAAAACAAACTATTCCAAATTAGATTACTTATTTTTTAACCTGGCTTTGCCCGTTTTATAGCTGTTTTCATAAATACTGGGACACTTGATAAAAAAACTAGCTGAATAATTTTTCGATTCGGTTAAGTTGTTGATTTCTGCATAAGTTAATTGATATATATCAGACAGTGATACTTATAGGTCAAATGAGATGATTTAATATAATTTTATATATAAAAATTGTAAAAAAAAAAATTATTTTTTTAATTTATTCAAGTAATTATAAACATAGCTTTAAAGTTACAAAGTTAAAATATCTACCGTAATTTATCTTCAATTAATTATATAATTAATTAAAATTATAGTAAAAAGATTTTAATTATATTAATAGTTAAATTATCAAAATTGATTTGATAAACTTCAAGATACTTGAAGTTAAAGATTTAAATATAAGAATTTGTAAATTTTTTTTCTTTTTTTTTTAAAGGTTTTGCCTTGATTTTTATTTATATTTGTATTGAAAATCCTCCAGAGCTTAATTACAAATTTTTACAAGAATAAGACTCAAACTATAAATAGATACAATTATAATTAACTATAGCTATCGAATTTATTTGCAATCTAAACCTATTAGAGTGGTTAAAACTCATCTAAATTTGATATAATAAAATACTATTTGTTGGATAATCTATTGATTTAACTATAAAGATATCTTTTAATAGCTTTGCCAAGAAAAGGTATATATTGTTTATATGTTGTTGATCTAATAGTTTACATATACAACTATATATATATAGTTAGTTTTGATATTGTTTAGTATTGTTTGATTGGTTAGAAACATTACAAAAATCAGGTGATTTTTTAGAAATGAGGAGTAAAAAAAGGTAAAATTATATATAAAAACCTGATTTTTATATATTAGGAGGAAACTCTTTAATAAAAAATAATTAGATAATAAATAATACTGTCCTTATTGTTTGTTTAATTTTGTATATAGATAATTCTTTTAGATATATTATTTTGGTTTTTCTATATTAAAGTTTATTGTTAGGGTTGTTAATGGGTTGGGTTGGGTTGGTTTGGGGTGACCCAATCATCAACCCACTCCGCTAAAT